GCCAGGAGACCTGCTGGCACCACTAAAGGCCGACAGGAGTGCATTATTGACATAGCAGTAGTTGAAAGGGCTGCGGAGTGGGCGAGGGATGTCTCCAGTGGGTTCCGCTCAGGGGGATGCGAGCTCGCGGAAGGAGTAGAGAGGAGGAACTTTAGCTGGCGAGGGCCGGAAGTGTGCGTCGATCAAGTGTTTGGATGTGCGTTTCAGGCGCTGTGTCATGCAGGTCGTAGAACAAGTCTTGAAAGAGGACAACACATTGGGCTTCGTGGCCTTTTTTGTCATGTACGGTTTTACGGCAGCACGGGCAAGCCTGTCCCTCGATTAGAGGTACGCCTGACCTCGAACAAGCCGAGGCCGCTGCAGCGCCAAATTGGGCTCTCAATTCTTTATGGGCTTGTCTCAGATGAGACTTGATTTTGGTGTGGTCCGCCGTCCAAAAGCCACAGACTGAACAGTATGACAGAAATTTTGAGAGAACTCTGACCTGCTGATGGCCAATGCTGCACGCGTCTCCACCGTCTGCCGTGGGTGTAGGGCGGCGCCATGTCCCTGGCCGCCCTGGACGTCCGGTGGACGGTCCAGCGCCCGGATCCGGACCAGGACACGATCCCGAGAGCAGATGGTCTGTCAGACCTTTCCAACGTGGAAATGGGCGCAGACATGCCGCGCATTGCGGCAGGCCCTGGTCGACTGCTCCGACCTAAACGTAGCCTGTCCACTGCGCCTGGGTGCATGCGACCGGTATGAGTGCGAAGCCCAGTAGGCACGTCAAAGATCTGGTCGCAGTGCACGGGCAAGTAGGTGTAGAGGCTGACTTGTCCGGGGCGACCAAAAGAGCCTGATAGATACGTAGTAGCTGTTGCACATGCTCTATGGCAGTAACAAGCATTCCAACATCCTCCGGAGGAGCTGTGCGGCTACGTTGCTGCAGCCGCTTGACTCGGTTAGACTGCCTGTCAGCAAGCTTTTGGATCGGATCCTTTATGCCATACTGCTTGTACAAGTCAGAGGTCGTGACGTGTGTCAAATGCACTGGTTTGTCTAGCTAGCACTGCCCGAATCTTAGCTGCGCGCCTGGCTCGGAGCTTGACGGCAATATCGGGGGTCAACCCGCCAATCCAACATCGAGCAGTCCAGCTGACACTGTCGCCCATACTTTGGTGCTCCACATGTGCCGCCTCGCCCTCGCCTTCGGTCCCGAGGTTCGGCTGTTGTGTACAAAGCGTCTGACTTTTTGGAGCTTGACGTTACCTTCCTGCAATCTGTAGAGGAGGGTAGATTTCTCAAGGTTGGTGTGAGACAGTTGCACCCCCAAGTGTTGGAACTTGGAACTTGTTCACCAAGTGAAAGCCCTGCTGCGCCCTGGACGTGCCAAGATGCCACATGCGGTGCATGCTGCCATATGACGCGTTACCTGCTTTCCCACCAGTTTTAACACCACCGAGCACTTATCTGCATTGACCTGAAAGCCGTTCTTGCAAACCACCGGTCACCGTTAGGACCATTAGGAGGTCTTCTTTGGCTGATGCGCTTGCAGAAGGTCCTGCTAGCAATTGATGGTGCGACGCACGGTGAGATCATCCGCATAGCCAGTGAAGTATCGGAGGACCTCCTGTGTTCCTGACAAGGCTGCTACTTCGCGAAACATGGTGCCAGTGAGCATGGAAAAGAGAGCCGGAGACAACTTACATCCTTGTTTTATGCCGGTGGTGGAGGTGACATGGGTAGTTATAACGCCGTAGCGACTGCCTGCCAGCAGTGTCGCCACCAGGTCCGGGGTTGCCGGCGTTGCCAGATCAGCCCCGGCCAAGGCAAGGGTGCCAAGCAGGTCGGACCGGTCGACCATGTCAAAGGCCTGTGACAGGTCCAGCGCAAAGCATAGGCCGCTTTTCAGCTCAACCTTCTGGGAACCTCGCGTTAGGTCCCTTCACGTCCGACACTTGTTCTGACAAGTCGCGTATATCCCGTGAGTAGGCCTCCTTTGCCAGCCCCTTGCCATCCGGACGAATGACTCCAAGCGGCCGGAGGTTCCCCGGCGTGGTTGCCGGTTTGTTGGGTTTTGGAAAAAAGCACATGTCAGCGTCCTTCAGCGGCGCTGACAGGACATCAGATGCCTGGCATTGGCGGTGCCCAGCCACTTGTTGCAGATGTTGAACCAGGCTGTGTCCGGGTGTCCGCGCACAGCTTCCACGCTGCGGCCGGAGCGGAGCCAGCCGGGACTGCCTTGTGGGGGCGAATAGATCCAATATGCTCCGACAGTAAGGTACCAGATATTGCCGGGAATTCATGCACTCTGTGTTCCAGAGACGGGTACTTAGCAAAGACACGCGTCTCTAATTAGAGTAATTCGTCCTGTGGAGTCAGGAGCGAGGTTTCCGGGCTTTGCAATTGTGCTCGGGTCTGCGGCTCCCATGGGCGTAGCTTTCTCAAGGTTTTATGTGCCAAGTACGCATCGCCCTTACGGCACGCCTGCGCAGCATGATCCGCTTCTGATAAAGCGCCGGAGGCTGCTTCTTGGTCGATTTGTCGCAACCGCTGCCACATGCGAAGTGTGGCTCGCTGCGCGCTCTGCGGCTTAACTACCGCTGCATTGACTATCCTGGTGCGGGTCGGTATGGGTCAGAGCTTGCTGGACCCACGGCCGCAGGTGTTGGGCCTCAGCACTAGGAGACCTGACGACTAACAGGGCATGCGGACAGTACTTCAGGGTTGGCTTATGATCTTTAAGCAAATTCCAATACGTGGTCGCCCTGTTTCCACTTGCCCAATCCTAAGTTGGTGAGTGGCTTATACTGCTTTGCCAGGCCACGCGAGGAGTTGGGGAAAATGAAGATGTAATCGATCTGCGACCGCGTGTCCCCCTGTTGGTAGATGTGGCCTCGGCCAGATGGGACTCGACAAAGTGCTGAAACGCTTCATCCCTAGAGTGAGTGTCCCGCGCTGGGATGGCTCGCAGAGCCGATGCCAGCGAGCTTTGAGCGGTCCTCCTTGTTTTGATGTACACTCTTCTGCGAGGACCAAACGTGCTGATACATGACGAGTACATGCACACGCGCTCCATGCCATGAGAAAACGGCTTGGATTAACCTGCCTCGGACATGCTCCGTCCAATCGGATGGACTTCTTGTCAATTGTCGGAGATAGGAGCAGCATGACCCCATCTGCGCTACTCGTGTCCATGGGTTTGGCAGCCACTGGGTCTTCTGTGTTGCCCTCCTGCGGTGCAGGGGTTGTCGCCTCCCGGCGGTGCCGGGGTTCTGCTTCGCCTTTTGGAGCTCTAGGAGCTCCCTTCTTGGCAGAGCTGATGCACTGCCATCCCTCGACAGCAAACTCCGCAGTTTCGCTCCAATCGGTTTCCTGCAGGCATAGGATGTCGCATGTATCCTGTGCCTTATAATTTCAGCCCATTGTGGAATCTCCAAGTGTCCTGCATTCCAAGACAGGAGGCGTAGGGGCTTGCTTTGCGCACCTCCACGTGGGCGGCGCTCAGGCATAGGAGTGGGGGAGGCAGAAGTCTGCGAGGACTGGCAGGTGGAGTGGGCCGGAAGCAAAGGCGGCTCGAGGCCGCTGCTCCTCAGGAAATCAGGCGTGATGGCGCCGTGTCTATGGATGTGTCTATATTCCTGACTCGTTTGGATACGAAAAACTCTGTTGCGGGTCTTGTGAAAAGCTTTCTTGCGTATGCTCGTATGCGAATTCTGGTGCACAGGCGATGCCGCCATCCGCTAGTTTCGAAACCAAGACCTAGTGTCGAGGAGAGTCCTTTCACCCCGCGGACAGGTGAAAACCGCCTACCTCGCCGCTGTCATGCGTGACGTTAGCTGCGAGGCCCGGGAAATGGGACCCGGCTGACCGCAGAGGCACTCGGCAAAGGCACCGCAATATGGCTCGGTCGGTCGGGGGCCCTGTTGCGAGCCTCTAAAGTTGGTGTCCCCGGCCCTCTTGGGACAGCTACCCTGCCTTCTGTGGTCCGTAGCGGCAACAACAACAACATGGAAAGAATCGGCACACTTGGGGGTATCAAGCAAAGCAGCTCGCAGGAGAAAGCCTTGACCAAACCTTTCCAACCCGAGCTCAGGATGCTTCCTGCAATACTTCAATCCCATATCCGTTTCGTGGTTGCGCGGACTTCCTCATGGTGTGGAGGGTCGAGATAAAGAGGATGATAGTAGATGTCAACCAGTCATATTAATATGGATTCGCAGCGAAAACATGCCTGAACGAAAGACGCGGATGTAGGCACGAGTTTCAGCGCAATGACGGAACATCGACAGGATCGGGAACAAGTGCTTTTGCCCGAGAGCTGCACCCAACCATCTGAGGGATATGCAGAAGGCTCCTGCCACTGTGTGAGGCAAGGTCATACAGTTGCTGGTATTATGTGAAGGAGTCACAGGCACGCGTCTCCAATTTCTCTGCGATCTGTGCAGCAAGCGGTACGACAGCCGGTGAACGGCTGGGTCCCGATTTGGTTGTCGAGCTGGTGGATACATCGCATCTGGACCTGATAAGGGGTGGAGCAATGACTCGTAGATGCCAGACTAGCTGAGTTGCGTCTCTGCTGGCAGGTCTCCATCCCTGCTACGACAACGCAACATTACTCAGACTGAGCGGGTGCAGAAAGAAAATCTTGCTGAGCCTTAGGCTGGTGATCTCTTGGACACGCACCCTGTCCAGCAAGTTAAGCAAGAGCAGCCAGAAAACCTACGTCTCAACCAATCCGAGACTGTTGTCCTGCGGTTGGATCTGGCCTGCTGGGGATGATGACGTCTGCGTCGCCTGCACCTGCGCCTCCCGCACTCGGGGCCTCTGCGAGTTGGGTGCAAGCAAAAAGCGAAGAGAATGCATGGGTCTTTCAGAATCCTGCGGACCTGCGGATTGTCCATCCCAGACAGCGACATGATTGCTCTGAGGCTTGTCTAGCATTCACTGATTACGCCATTCATTGGACAAATGCATGTCTGTGTGAAACAGGAGATGTCCAATCAATGTAGCTAGCATCATGAATATCCAAGCTGGAGCACAAGAACATATTCTACAACACCAAATGCCATACAGGCTGGAGTACGGAAGCACCCCACACAGGAAGCCAGCACCTCATTTTGCTCTGGCGCCGGCCATGTCCGATCTGCTCGCACATTTCTGCAAGCCGGTCGGCGGGTGATCTGTGAGCGATGTCGGAACGTCCCAATGGGGTCACCGGGCAGCCTTGGCAGCTTTTCTTTCCTGCGCTCCGAACCGGACCGCAACGTCTTAACGGTCTCAACAGCGACAGCAAGTCCTCCACAAGCCGCTTCGTCTCGTCATCGTGCTCTTTCCGAACGCAGGTGTTGAATCTGCCGGCCAAGCATAAACGAGAGATCAAGGCGAGAGAGCCTTTAGGTTTATCCTAACTCCACAGTCAGCAGACATGAGGGGAAGCGAAAGATGCAGATACAACCACTGTGGCCCTTGTGGGCCTCGTCTGCCTGACCCGATCCACTTCACCTGGCTCCAAAGGGTCTTCCGCATAGACCTGAAGGAAAGTTTACCCGCCCTCACGGTTTCTGAAAAGGTTTTGATCGGGTTGCTTGTGATGGTTGCGTCCAGAACCAAAGCCTGTTTCACACTCCTTACACCTTTGTGCCCAAACCCACAGTTTGTGCTGGAAAGTTCGAAAGACACATAGATCTGCACCTTGTGCAAGGTCAAGTATGTTCAGGCGAGTGGGGGGCACGGAGGACCGGATAGAGCAGAGACCAGATCAAAAACGAAAGCGTTTGCAGCCAAGAACTATCGATTGGTATGGTGCATCATGAATGTATGCATGCAGTCCTCCATATGGTACTGAATATTGACAGTAGTACATCATCTTTGCATACATCCACAAAGACTCTTGCATGCATCCGTTCGTCTTTCAATGCGGCATGGAGAAGAAATCATGTCACCCATCCTGGCGGGCACGGACATCCATCCCTCCCATCTCTACAAATGCGATGACACGTACAGATACATCCATTGATCCATCCCTCCCTCCCTCCATCCACCCCGTAGTAGCCCATCCCATCCCATCTCATCCATCCATCCTTAAATCCATCCGTCCATCCATCTATAGATCCACGCACCCATCCATCCATCCAGCCAGCCAGCCATCCATCCGTCCGTCCATCCACCCACCCACCGACCCACCAACCCACCAACCCACCACCCACCCACCCACCCACCCCCCATCCATCCATCCATCCCTCCCTCCATGCATCCATCCAGCCAGCCAGCCATCCATAGGTCCACGGTCCTCGCATCCATCCATCCATCCCTCCCTTCCTCCCTCCCTCCGTCCATCCATCCATCCATACACACGAGGGTACCGGCCCCACAGCTCCTGCCACCCTCGCGAGACGTTCCACATTGCACTACAATCCTTTCCACAAAGTACTGGCGGATTCAAGGACGGCCAGCAGGCTTTCCCCCATGTACCGACGGATTCAGGAGCAAGACCAAAAGTCATTCTCCCAAGTGCTGGCGGAATTCAGGGAGCACGGCCAGCACCCCGAAGTAGTGGCAGATGCAGTGACGCAGGCAGATTCAGGAGTACAGCACACGTATTATCGTTTACAATTTACAAGGGATCGCGCCGACCCCCAGAATCGGAGATAACGCATCCACCGACAGGGTTGCAAATTCGAGAAGCTCGAGCGGCGCATGTGTTGGAATCTACAACGGATCCCACTTTCGGCTACAGCCCTGTGTTGGAATTGAAAATGGACCGCACCTGGGAACAGGCGAATGGTAGGGGCACCACGCGCACAGCGTCACCGCGATAACAACCCGAACTCGGATCCGCCCAACCACATCCATCGAGAAGGTTGTCGCTCCCGCAGCAGTACTCGACCCGTCTGTTGGAAGTTACCATGGATCGCGCACGCCGAAACAGCAAAATGTTACTTCCCATTCAGGATCGCGTCCAAAATCCTTCCCGGTTCAGACGCCGCAGGACGAAAATCGTCGCAGCACCACACTCGGCACGCTGCCCCATTTCGCGTGCATGCCGACATTGCAAGAACACATTCACACCCTGAAAGTCGAAAAAATCTGCCAATCACAGAGTGCAGCTGCCGTATTGGAGTTACACACGCAGTGGAGATGGAGCATGCCGCTTGTGACACCATCCTTAGCCGCTGTTCGCTTCCATCGGTTCTGGCGGGCCAATGCGTTGGTGCAAATTCTTACAAATTATGACGTTCGTGATGCCCAGATGTCCTGATGGTGGTGATACAGTAAAGGGAAGTGCCAAGGCAGCCGAAAGCAAGGTAAGACACATGCGAACTTTGGAGCAGAAGCACGAAACTTCTTGTTGCTCTGAACGGGACACAACTCCAGGCCTCCAACCTCAGCATACCCACAGCGCAGTCAATCCGAGACGAGGACTTCTGCATAGCATGCATCGGAAACACACTTGCTGATGCAGTCGTCATTTTCGTCCGGATGGAACCTGATATGCGATGTGGAAAGGATGCCTCAAGCTACTATCAACATGTCTGCTTTCCTGGTGTAAGATGACTTCAAGACGATCCTGTGATCACGCAACTCATTCACAAAATACAATCGAACATCCTTTCAAAAGAAGCACATGAATCTTAAGGAAAGCCGCTTGCTACCAAGGGGCCCAACACAAGGTCCCTTCGCACATTCACCCTCCTTCTTCCAATGAACCTGGCTGACCGGCTGCCTACTGAGATAGCATCTTTTGTTGAAAAGACATCGTAGCAAGCTGACAGGACCCGATCATGACCAGGAAATATAAACTCTGCAATGCGTGTTGCTACCAAAAACTTCGGTTCTTGCAAGCTTGGGGACAAGCCTTCCGTAGAACACGCACAGGAGGCGCTGTGCAGCGACTCACAACGCGGTCATGGAATCCAAAAATTCAGGCCTCGCTTGATTGGAAATTGAAGCCTGTTTCGAAAGGATCCTCTCCTACCAACATTCAACAGTAAAAGAAAGACAGAAAGTCTAAGAACCCTGGGCAGGTGCCTTCGAGGTATGCTGCGGATACTTTTTCGGCTTCGCTTCTGCAAATGCCGATGCCTGGTCAAGATGCAACTCTGAGTGTCTGCACAAGTCGTGGTTGATTGGCGGTCTCTGCCGTGGACAAGAGCAACCATGGTTTACATGACCGACCACTCATGTGGCTATGTGTGTGATGAGCATGTACGTGCGTCTGTCTGCCTGCCTGGCTGTCTGTCTGTATGCGTCTGTCTGTGCGTAGATATGTATGCACGCACACATGCAAACAAGCAAGCAGGCAAGCAGGCAAGCAGGCAAGCAGGCAAGCAGGCAGGCAGGCAGGCAGGGAGGCAGGAAGGCATTCATGTATGCATGTGCGCATATTTTAGTGTATATATATATATATATATGTATATATGTATCAGTATCCACGATCGCACTCGCTCGGTTCCCTCGCTGAACAGCCGACGGTAGCGGTCCCTTTTTGTGCGACCGCAACGTGGGAGTCGGCCACAAGTCAGATCAAAACTTCACTCGATCTGCACCAGTCCGATCGGAACCCCGATCACCGGGGGTGCGCAATGGCATTCGCCAACGACCGCAGCATCAGTCCGATCGGATACATCAGATGAGCGATTTTCCCCGCGCCAAAATTAACTAGAAGACAATTGGCCTGCAAGCATCATTAGCGAAAAGTTTTGCACTACGTTATAGAATCCAGTGCATAGGATCATAAAGTCATAGAGTGAAGTGCATCTAAATATGAATGCCGAGATCGATGTATTAGAATGTATGTACTTGACTCTATGTGTTACACGCTGCGTACCTCAGTCGATTTTGTCAAAGCTGTCAAAGCAGTGCGTAAACTCAAGTACATGAAGTCAACTGCACACAGCGAAGTGCATAGTCCAGTGCATGGAGTCGGACAGAGTCAAAAGCACAGAGTCACAGAGTCAGAATGTCACATAGAGTCAAGAGTCATAGAGTCATGGAGTCATAGAATCATAGAGTCATAGAGTCATAGTGAGATAGAGTCATACAGTCATAGAGTCAGAGCGAGAAAGAGTCATAGAGTCATAGAGTCATCTTTGTACCATGCACTTGACTCGATGTAGATCACTCTATGTACACTACTGTACAGGTTTAGCGGGTTTAGGGTAGTCCAGTGCACGGTTTCTGCGCATTATTGCAGGGTCACTTTATGTGAGGACTAAGTCGAGATCATGTGTTTTGTTCGGTTGGTTCTGGTCGGAGCGTCGCAGCAGTAGTACTAGCAGTAGTAGTAGTAGTAGTAGTAGTAGTAGTAGTAGTAGTAGTAGTAGTAGTAGTAGTACTTCACTCCCTCGCGGCAAATGTCTCGATTCGCCAAGCGCTTCTCGGCGCATCTTTGATGCGGCAGCTGAGCTGCAAAGGGCTCTTCCGTTCCCGCTCTCAAGGACTCACCCGCTCCGTAGAGCCTACACGCAGTGAGCCCTTCCAACACTGTCAGACGTCAGGGCCCCTGCCTAACAAAACTTCTGTTGGCTTCTGAAGGAGCACTCTGAATCGGACATAAGTACACAAGATAGACGTTCTGCTGAATGAACAAAGCATCACTACGCACAACACGCCTAGCACTCACATTATCATCCGTAATCCAGAGTGTACCATCAGGCCGGAAAAGGACCGTTCTGTAGTGTCCACTATGGGGCGTCTCCCCCAAGTGAACCTGAGCTGAGCACAGACGAAAGGCCAGGGACCTGGCAGAACCTTCAACCCAGGTGACAAGTTGTACCTCTCTGGGGAGGAAAACGGGGGTACGGTTTTTCACGACCTGTCGGTGCTCCGCTCTGAAGGGGTTCAGCTGTAGAGCAACAGCTTGCGTTCCTGAGACGGCCTGTAAAGTACTGCTACCATTGGAGCCTGCAACATCCTCAGGTGGAACCGAAAGAGACAGTGACAGTGGGCAAACTCCTCCTCTGTCCCTCAAGCAGTTCGCAACGAGAGAAGCCCACGAGCCCTGAAAGAACCCAAACAGCTGCTGAGAGTGAAGAAAGACTAGGAACTCCGCAGCGTCTTGCTGACGACCTGTGTCTGGCCATCTGCGAAGGATCCTGCGCCAGGGGGGGCGGGACCAAAGATGGGTGGGCTCGGAGGATTGAAGCACCTCCAGTAGGTCACTCGCCAGAGTCTCGTGGTAGAGCTACTTCTAGATCACCTAGATGAGCAGAACACCAGAGGACCGCAAGCAGGGTGGAGTTGGCATAACAGTCGTCTGCGACATTACTCAGCACAAGCTGTTGTATTCCTTGCAGAGGAGCTGCTTGCGACGCACTGCTTCGGCGATCTTCACAGCGAGCGGGGACCTCTGCATCCTCTCTTTGCGGAGGGTCGAGGCAACGACCCGAAGAGCAGAGCTGCCCGACAGACTCTCGAGAATCTGCCAGAACCGAAACGTCTTGACCTCGCGTAGCCCGAGCTCCAACTTGAAGGTGAGCGTCGGCCCCAGAAGCTCTTCTGAGAGGTCCCTGGTGGAGTGAAATGGAGTAATCACTCCTTCCGTGGCACTGAGCACGGTGAGCTCCCGAAGCATCTGTTGGACGTCGTTGAGACTCAGCGGCATGCGATCCTTGATCACCTCCATTTGACGAACCTGGGAGCTGATCGGGCTCCTGGAGAATCGCCAGTCTGACTGCCTCGGCTTTGAAGGTCGGGTCCTTGTTCATTGTTGATTTTTTTTACAGGGCTTGGCCCCATTCGTAGATGAAGCACTGGAAGAGGATTACTGTGCGGGGGAACTTCAGCGTGCCCGGACTCTCCTCCTGCTCCTTGCTCCACTGCTGAGCAACTTTGGCCATTGCCGGTACGATAAGGGCGGGGCCGTCCCTGCAAAAAGGACCCAAGACGTACTTTGAATTAGAACCCCGAACTGGTCTTCGTGGCGCAGAGCCAGGGCCGCCACCAGGTGAACCAGCCGAGTCAGGTTCTCTGTAGAAGTCGAGGCTTCGTTGCTTGGGGCTGGTTGCCCTTGCTGCCTTTGCAGCTGGTGCTGACGCCTCTTGGCTCGGTTGCTGGGTTCCGAGTTGGTTCCCTTTTGGCCCTGTCCTTTGCCTGTACCCTTGTTGGGCGCTGGAGTCTGCTTCTGAAACTTGCTCGGTGTTTCCTGCGGTGCTAGGGGGCTGTGGCTCGGCTGAGTGCTCTGGCTGCTCCCTGAGAAGGCAGAGAAAGGTTGGGTCTCTGGGTTTCGAAACTGACTGGCTGCCGTCTGCAAAGGGTCCGACTCTGAGGTGGGTGCTTGGCGCAAAGTAGTGCCAAAGGCTGCTCCTCCCGAGGTCTGAAGGTGAGTAAGTTCTGCTGCCGCTGCTTGGATTTCCTCCATTGATAGTGACTCGCAATCCATGGCTTGAACCTGGCAGGAGCAGGATGTACAAAAAGCGAGCAAGCACAATGGCTGAACATTCACCCGCGTGCTTAGCCTCGTGACAGCTGAAGGTGTTCCGGCAGTAGCGACAGGGAGAACTCAAAATGAGGCTGCGCCGTGCAAGTCGCATGTGTGCACAGGCTTGCTCGAGGCATGCAGTGGCCCACGGGTGAAAGGCCCGCACATGATGCCCAAGCCCTCGTGACTGTATCATCCATTGATCACAAATCCGGCATCGCTTTTTCACATCAGCAATCCGCGGTTGCAATGTTTGAAGAATGCTTTCCCAGCCTAAAGAAGGAGGCTGGGCAGAGGAGGCAAACTCCCAAAGCAGTGGCAAGCGATTGTTTGCAGGCTGATGCTCCAAAGCGAAGTGAAGGGCATCCGGAAAAAGGACTTTGCAGGATCGAGTGAACACATGAACTTTCAAATCATCCCAAGTTTCGCATTTGCGGTTACAATGACGACAGATGCAAAGCCCGTTTTTCCCATGGAGCCACGTGAAACGGGTCTGAGGGTCAGCATCCTGCATCAAAGACGGCAAACCTGTTGTCATGTAACCCTCTTGGGAGAATGCCTGGACTTGCCGTCTAAGCTGATGATCGCTATTATCCAGTGGCATTTCAACAGCAGCGGGGCCCTGCACAGTCACTGGGCAAGGAGATACCTGCCAGGCTTCAGGGACAGTCGCTTCCAGGGCAGGGGTCGGATTGTCCGTATTACCAGAGGCCTCCGGGGCACCGTGCTTTACCGTAGCATGAACTCTCATGCCTGCCAGTGAGGTGAAGAGCTGCCGGCAGTGGGGGCAGCGTATCTCCCGAAAAGTGTGTGCCCCATGATCCTCCGGGGTCGGAGGAGAAGTGTTGTCACAGGAGAGGCTAGAAGACTCACCATTGGGAGTGCCGCTGCTAATCCGATCACTCTCGAAACGTTCCAAAAGGAGTTTCGCCCTTTCAAGCACACCCGGAATTGCACATCAGAGGGCAGGCCTCCTGGGCCTCGACCAAGCCTCCCGTTCCAATGTAAGCCACGGGTCCTCCACCTGTAGGCGATGCAGAATCTGCTCCG